CGGCACACCCCGCTGGAGAGGGGCGGGGAGGGTCGCCCGGCTCAGCCCGGCCCCCGAGGGTTGGTTGCAGTTTAATTCCAGGCTGGTGCCCGCTCTGCCTCTTCCTGCCCTTCCCCTCCCAAGCGCGTTTACACAGCGGCTTTTGTACCTTCAAAGGGGTTTTGCCTCCTGATTTCAGGCCTCCTGCTGGGTTCAGCCTGAGGAGAGACCCCAGGACAGAGACGCCCCCAGGACTGCACCAGGGCAGCCTCCTCCCTCACCCAGCCCCATTCCCTGGTCTCACACAACACACCACTGGACCACTCAAATCCTGGAAGATAATACATTCCACTGGCCAAAACCACCACGGCAAGACAAGCATGAGCCCCACCAGCCACCCCCTCCCTGCCCCGGAACGGCTGGTGCAGGAGAGGGCACAGCCCTTCGCTTGGCAGCCTGGAACTGCTGGAGTCCGCGGGAAGTCTGCAAGCACGGGATGCACAGGGCTGCTCCTCTCAGCCCCGGCCCCTTCAGCCCTCCCCGCAGCTCTCAAAGTACTGGCACATCAGCTCACGCACTTGCTCGGCCCGCCCGTCCTCCATGGCCGCGGGCGCGGGCTGGCAGGGCCTGGGCAGCTCGGTGGGCTCGGTGCCCTCCAGCCACTCCTCGTTGGAGGGGGTGGCGTGGGCTTCCCAGGCGGATGCAGCAGGCAAGGACCAGGGTGGGCAGCAGCTCCAGGCTGCAGTCGTCACACTTGAGGAGGATCTGCCAGCGCGCCTTCAGGCGCAGGAAGGCGTTCTCGATCACGCTGTGCGCTCGCTTCAGGCGGTAGTTGAACTGCAGCTGCCGCTGGGTGAGCTTCTCATCCTCCTGGTAGGGCTTGAGGATCCAGTCTTGCAAGGGGTAGGTGGCATCGCCCAGCAGCACGTACTTCTGTGCCTTTCCCATGAAGTGCTTGGGAGGGTTGGGGCACAGCCGGCCCTCCTTGGCCAGCACCCACAGGCTGGAGCTCTCCAGGACTGCGCTGTTCTCCATGCTGCCCGGGAAGGCGGTGGAGACGTCCCAGAACTGACCCAGCCCATCCACGGTGGCCTGTGTCAGGATGGAGTGCCAGCCCTGGCCGTTGCAGTAGTCGGCGCTGAGGCGCAGGGGCGGGTGGATGGGGATGTGAAGACTGTCCAGGGCCCCGATGCAGTGCGGGAAGCCCCAGCGGGTGCGGAAGATGCGCACCATGTTCTCCAGCTCCTTCTCGTTGGGCAGCCGGAGGTAGAGGGGCTTCAGCAGCAAGACAACAGCATAGCTCACCTCCCGGACGCACGTCTGCACTGTGGAGGGCCCCACACCGAAGAGTGGGCTGAGAGTCTGGTACTCCACGTTGGTGGCCAAGTGCCACAGGGCCACGGCCACCCTCTTCTCCAGGGGCAGGGCAGGGTGGAAGTGGGTGCTGTGCGGGGCCAGCCCAGGCCGCAGCCGGTTGCAGACATAGAAGAAGGTCTCCTTGGACATCCGAAACTTCTCCAGCCAGTCCTGAGGCCCAAACTCCTTCAGGACCACCCGCTCCCACCAGTCTGCGCTCCTGAGGCTGGGCCAAGCACGGGGGTAGAAGTAGCAGCTGGTTCTTCTCCGGCGAGCAATCAGGAGCTGCGGCACAGTGAGGAGACAAGAGGGGGTGAGACGGCACTTCCCTGGCATCCCACCCCACTGGGACCTCCCCTGTCACCCAGCTGTGACCCTGAACAAGATGCCTGGGTGCCACAGACAAGGAGCCTTCTGGAAAAATCCTCTTTTTGACACGACCACTTACTCTGTGGGGTTATTTTTTAACACGAATTACTTGTTTTCCTGCAAGCAAGTGAACTGCGGGCTCAGGCAGGTTTGGAGCAGGGAGTGAGCACCTGCCTGCCCAGCCCCTCCACGGGAATCGCTTTTCTGTTATTAAATTCTAAAAAGAGGCTTTTTTCACCTTCCTCGGCAACTGCCCAAGGAAGTGGGCTCCCCAACAGCATGTCCTCACTGCCAAGTCTCCAGACCATGTCCCACATCCTTCGTGTCCCCCACCTTTGATGCTTTGTGTCTTCTGATTCTGAGTTCACATGCCCTTGGAGTCCCCTGCCCTTCATGTCCCCTCCCCTTTGTGTCCCACACATCCCTCTGCTCCCCATCCTTTGCAACCTGTGTCACACTTGTGTCCTCCATCCTTCCTGTCCTCGTGTTTCACGTTGCAAACATCCACCACCTTTTGTGTCCCTGCAACCTGGGTTCCCTGTGTGACTTCTGTGTCCCGCTGTGCCCCCCATCCTTTCCATCCCTGTACTTTGTCCTGCACGTCCCTCTCATTCCCCACTTTTTGTCCCCAGGACTTGTGCAATACCGTGTGCTCCGTGTCCCCCCTCCTTCGTGTCCCCATCAACTCCAAGTGCCCCGTGTCCCTCATGACCCCCATCCTCCCTGTCCCTTTTCATGCCCCACATGTCCCCTACATCCCCCATCCTTTGTGCCCCATGTGACTCCCGCGGCCCCCCACGGCCCCCATGCTTCCCATCACGCTTTATCCCGCACATCCCCCCCATTCCCCACTTTTTGTTTCTATGACCTGTGCATTCCGGTGTCCCTCGCGTCCCACACCCTTCCCGCCCGTGTCACGCCCCCTACACCCCCCACCCTTTGTGTCCCCACCACC